CATTTTAACTAAGTGAAGTCAGGATTAGATCTGGGTCTAACTTGTCTTGCTTCATGCCTTGCTACAAGATTTTGCCGTGTACTTTAAGCAGCACAATATAAGAAGGCTTTATTCAGTGTGAATACAGGTAGCATAACCTGCGAGAAAGCTTTTTGATGATCATCTGTCATTTTATTTGGTTCCAAAAATACTGATTAGCTCTTTATGAACAATTTTTTTTTCATCCAATGGTGTGTTATTTTAAATGCAAGGGTATTAAACTTAATTTATGAGTATTTCATATACAGAATTGTATCATGTTTTACTCTGCATCATTACAGAAGACATGAAAGCATTCCCCCATGCTGGTTCCCCATGTCACTGGCTGTGGTGAAGGGAAGACCACGTGCTGTTCAGGGCTGTCGGTGGAAGTCATACACCAGCTGATTCTGCTTCTGAACCACCACCAAGCATAGCTTTCCTGTGTGTAGCACAGGTGAGAGCCTAGGGAGAAAATTGTAGTTCTCCAAGAAAGAATAAAGTTGTGGTTCAGACTGAGTTTAGACCATACTGAGTGCCCATCAACACGAAAAGTGAATGAGTGACCTTGAACCAGAAGTCATTCACCGAAGGCAGAGGAGAAGTGTCGCTACAGTGTTGATCAAATAGAAAAGAGAGAAAATTAGCACTTAACATATATATACACATATATACAGATTGACAATACAAGCCTGATTCTGTAGGTCATCATCTGGATTTGAATGATAAAATTTTAGCTTTTTAGGTTTTCCATTTTTCCTGACAGAAATAAATAAACCATTGAAAATGATACCACTGACACCAGTGGTACCAGTGTAAATACTGATACTTGTGAGTGTGCAGGCAACACTGTCATCAGGCTCCACTTTTCTTAACTTAGTAGCTCAGTGCTCCTGGATAACTTGCCACTGTCCCTCTATCAGCAAATGCAGTTTTTGTGAGGTCTTATTACAATGAAGCTCGTTTGGTAATATTGTCAGTTGTTGTCCTTTCTCAGCGCGTTCCCCAGGCAGAAAGTCCCTCCAGAAGGAGTGAAGGTCCACACAGTGGGGGTCCCTTGTGTAGAAAGGTGCCCCTGTCTTCCCAGCCAAGGGCACCAAGGGTAAGGGGTAAACCCAACACCAACAGATCTTTTGGAGACTGTCTCTACTACTGCTGCTATGAAAAGAAGTGGAATCAAAGCCCTGAGATACCCTTCAAGGAGAAGGTTTGTGAAGGATAGTTGGGCCATGTTTTATCTTAATCGTACATTTGCCTTGGAGTCTAAAGTGTTTTGCAGTTGTCGGTTTTGTGACAGCAAAAGACAATGGAAGATCAAGAAGTTTATTCTTAGGTAAGAGAGAACTTTGGTGCAGAGTTTTCAGACACTTTAGAAGATTGTGTGAGACTGCTAACAATTACTGCCAAAGATGAATTAGACATGTTTTACAAATGTTAGTGATTACATTGCATAGCTAGCCTGCATATTTTTGTAGCACGTTTGCCCACAGGTTTAAATAGTATAAACAGAAATTATTTTAACATGTTTCGTGAATGTACCTTTAAGTTAATGTCCAGCAGAAGGTGCAATGTTGTTGGTCTAAATGGTATTATTATAGTTCCTGTGACCCTTAATAATTATGATGCTACCTTTGAAGTGTGGTGAAGTTAGTATGGGATACAAATTCAGTGGACACAAAAATCCACTTTTTTTTTAGGTGAAAGACTAACAAAAATATGAAAATATTCACCTAGAAATATTCATGAAGGTTTTAGAGGATAGTATTTTATTCTCCCATGTTTTCTATAAAAATGCTTCTTTCAGGACTAAGTAACATTATTTTTTTTGTTCTCACACTCCTATGTTGATTTCATACTCTTTGTCTTGTGATAACAGCTTTGCTACTGTAACTAAACTGTTATATATGTACACTTTTCTACAATTCAAGAATTGAAGTAAGCAGTAAACAGTGAGCAATGATATAAAAAAATTCAATAATATATTAAAAGTAGATAATTAATTACAATTAATATATGCTTGATAGAAATTTTCAAAGGGATGAAATTTTTATTGGCTTTTTAAAGCAAGTTGTAAGAACCTTCATGAAACATAGGCCCTGAATATAAAAAGTTAATAGCTTAGAACTATATTAATGTAATGTCTAGAATATTACATTACTTTGTTTCCAGAGATAATCAATGATGGTAATATAATATCAGCCTCTCAGAGACAATGTATGATTTAAATTAATTATTGCTTATAAAGCACTTTGAAGTCTTTAGGAGAAGGGTGTTGCATAAGTGTAAAAGTACTATTATTAATTTAACATCACCATTAGAGTAAAGTTAGTACTTTAGGAGCATTTGCTATACTTTGCTCAATGTCTTTTTATTCATCATATGCTGCATATTAGTTATTTTAACATTTAGAAAGCTCAGTAATCTGGAAGTATTCCAAACCATTGTTCCAGACAGCAGTTAGATACTTGGGTGGATCATGTAAAAACAGTGAAATGGCTGAGAAAGCATGTAAAATGTTTGTTTTAAGTAATATTACATCAATGGAAGAGACATCTGCAGCACTGGACTTGATTTTAAACTTTTTAAACCTTTTTAAAGTTAATGTTGTATTATGTTTCACTAAAATTGTTTTGGGGGTGACTAATACCATATGATTTCTAAACAAGTATACTGCTTTACCTTTTGGTCAGTTTTCATTTCTGCTTCTCAAATACTTGTAGGAAGTCAGATTTACAGTGAGTACATCTTAGGAAGTGGTGAACACCTACCACTCAATATTGCTTTTACTGTTTGATTTTGTAACCTAATGCCAATTATCAATATCTGCATTATCTATTTTAATTTTCATTAATTCTGTCTCTCATATAAGACTATTTAAAAATAGGAGCAGTGATAGGACTTGGAAGTTATAGCCTCAGAAAAAGAGTATGAAATCATTCTATTGTATAGTGATTACGTGCAATAAATATGCTCTATAATAATGCTGAGTATTTACACAGTTGTTGTTATCTACAAGGTTATATTCTAAATTGTCCCAAATGTAGAAAAAGAAATTTTAGAGACCTTGTCCTACATCTTTCCCAGGAGCATTGTCTTGAATTTTTGTTTAGCTCTAGAGTTCAATGCAGGGTAAGACTGGGTAAAACAGCTTTAAAGTTATGAGTTCAGGGTCCAGCCAGGCTCCCCAGCCCCACGAAGGCAGGTGGGGAGAGTAATTGAGTGAATAACTCCATTCCTTTGTGAGTGGTATAAGATGATGTTCCTGCTTTCTGAAAGCAATATCAATTTAAAAGCCAAATGTGTGAGTAAATCAGTTAAAAGATTCACCTGTAAGCAGTATGCTGAGTCAGCAGTGATGAAGTTTGATTTTCAACTTGTACTTGAAAATGAGCATATTAATTACTGGTAATATTTTTCATGTCCTCTTCTTGTGGTAGACATTTTATTTTAAAAATGCTATTTGCACTACTAGAATTAGAGGAATGTTTTGTAGGTAACTGAAAATTAGTTTTCTTCTCTTCTTTGAATTTATTCTACATTTTGAGGTTATTTTAATATGTACTGCAAATGAATTAAGCATGGAACTTCTTGATTTCTCTTGAGGTTACTGAGTCAGTTAACAAACAGGTTTATCATCCCTAGTATGAAATGTCATATGGCTCAGGTTCACCCATGTTATTTTCAGATATATGCTGGAAGATTAAAGTATGCTATTAATAAAAAATTACACATTTCAAGCTCATTTTTCAATTTATTAATAATAAGAAGGAGATTTTCCTCTTAAATCAACAAAGCAGGTATTTATGCCTCCAACAAATGCTTCATTGTTTATGAAAACTAGCAAACTTCAGGCTTAATTGTGCACATTTCCATGCATAGGAGTATAAGCAAAACTGATCAAGTATGTACTCCTGTTTCCAGGCAGGTTTAGGCTTGAGATGTTTTCTAAAAACATATTAAAAATTTTGAAATTTACACAAATTATCCAAAATTTACATGTCACTGGAAATACTAAAAAGTGATTCATGGAAATAAATTTACATAATAGAATTGTAGAATAGTTTCACTTACAAGAGACCCTCAAGACCATCTAGTCCAACCTTTGTCCTAGCTCTATCAGCACCACTAAACCCTGTCCCTCAGCACAACATCTCCCTGTCTCCTAAACACCTCCAGGGATGGCGACTCAGCCACCTCCTTGGGCAGCCTGTTCCAATGGCTGACAACCCTTTTAAAAGAGGTCTCTTAAGGTCTTTTTAATGTGTACCTTAAGTCCTGTTAATATTAAAGACACATACATGCTTTCCTTGTTCAATATAAATGTTATGCAAGATCAATCAATCAATCAGTCCCTGTTCCTTGAAGAGCAGTCAGTCACATAAGAGTCACGAGCATGGTAATGAGGTGGCTGAGGGCAGTTTGAGGTCATTTAAGCACAAGCTGCCGTTCCAATTCCGCAAACACCTCCAAGGGCTCGTTCTCCTGAGCATCACTCGTGGTCCTACAAGTGTTGCTGCTGGCACAAGTGACAGAGCAGCTGGAGAATACAAAGAGCAGGTGGGGAGAACTGCTTCTGGTGGTGATGAGGCTGATGTAGGCTTCAACTACTTGTGAAATAACTATTGCATCAGGTAGGAGGCAGAAGGTTGTAGTGAAATAATTATTGTGCTACTGTTTTGAAGTACTAATTGTTCCTCGTGGTTTGCAGATCCCCAAATCTTGCTTATGTTGTGTATTCTATTCACACAGTTTTGAAGTCCAGGTTTGTACCTTCTTAAAAAGAGTGGGGGAAGAGGAGGAAGAGGGACGCTTCGGCTCTTTGTTTCTAAATGATTCATGCAATTTCAGTCACAGTTACTGTGGAAAAAAGATACTGCTTCTAAATGTTTACTTTGTTTTCCGCCGCAAAATATGTAATGAAAATTTCACGTCAAATCCATTCTAGAGTAATAAGAATGATTTTTTTTTATTATTATTTTCAGCACCAAAGGGAATACTCCATCTCTCTCCTGATGTTTATCAAGAGATGGAAGCAAGCCGCAACAAATCAGCCCCTGGTACCACTGTAAGCTATTTGTCATCCAAAGAAATGAGCCAGACTTCTAGCTCTTTCTTCAGCATATCTCCTACAACAAATAGCACAGCTACGATTGCCAGGGAACTTCTCATGAATGGAACATCCCCAACTGCCGAAGCCATAGGTCTAAAAGGAATATCTCCCACTTCCCCCTGTTCTGCAGTGCAGCCTTCAAAACAGCTGGAGTATTTGGCAAGGATTCAAGGCTTTCAGGTATGGGAGGGGGAAAATGAAGCTCTTCAGCCAGAATCATAGCATTGCCATCAAGGTTTCACTCTTGCCCTCTTGAACATGGGCATGCATGTAACTTATCTTGTAAAATTAGCTGGTGTCCAAGGCAGTTTCTGGGTCCAGGAGATACAACCCTGCACCAATATACATGTCCTTCCTGTTTTTCGTTCCTTCCTTCCTTCCATTCACCTTACTGCAGGCCATTTTTCTCTCCTTTGCTTGTTCTCCTTAAATACTTCCAGGCTTAAATTATGCTTTTTACTTGCACTTCTTTGAGAGTCATCATCTCTTGGCATTAGAAGCTTTACATACTGCTCTGCTGTTGGTTTCTCTCTCTTGGACTCTGATCCAGAAAGTACTGACACACCACCTTAACCTTGCGTTTGTCTTCTGTGCCGGGTCGTTAAAGCCCTTACTCTGCTTCCTGCCCTGCACCTCGTTAGCTGTAACCTGTAGGACAACATCAGAAGGTGCAGCCTAGGAGCAGACCTGGTGTCAGAGCAATGCAGAATGTTTTTGACATCACAGTCGATACTAGAGAATGTAAGATGAACCCACGCTGGGTCAGCACGTGAGTCCGTCACCACTGATAACCTGTATCCAGCAATGGCAAATGCCCTACATTTCATAGGAGAGTGGCAGCCTCTGTAGTACATCCAGTCATTTCTGCAGTGTGGAAGATGGGAAAAGGAAGCCTCTTCCCGATCACCATGACATGCGCAATTACACGACTGTATGGGTAGCAGCCCATTATACCATGTTGCACCATTGGAGTATAGGACCAGCTATGTAGAAGTATTCTTTTTCCTGTCATAGGTTTTTGTTTTGGTTGTTTATTGGTTCTGTTTTGCTTTGTTTTTCCTTTTCAGAGATGTGAATTTGTTTCATTTGAAAAGTTGGTTTCCTATGTTCTAGCATATGTAATTTGATCATGTAACTGAATTCTGGAAATAAGAGGTTTCTGTTAGAATTTTTGCACGCCTGATAATGATTTTTTCATCAAAGCCATTGTAATTTACAAAGTATGCAGTTGTTGGAAGTGATTTAAAAGAGGCTGCTAGAATTTGAGAAATAGTGTCAGATGTTCTGTTGGCATGAGCAGCATAGTTAAATTACATTTGCACACATCAGATATCACCAGTTGTGAATTTGACCTAACGCTGTTTCTGTCTAAAATGTACACTCAGCTTTCTTTTGGTCTTCATTTTTAAAATGTCTTTTATTTGATTCGTTAGTTTGAATGTCTCTTAATGCAAGAAATGGTAAAAGTCCTAAGCCTCACCATACTAGAGTTAAGCTGCTAATAGGAATTCAGTTTTCCTGAGTTCCATTTGTTACCTGCCTGCAGTAGAAGCAGATTAATTCTGATGAAAAGAAATTCAATCCGTGAAGTTTTCACTGCTCGCTTTCACATCTTGTCAGATTGCTTGTGTCTACTAGTAACACTTTGTTTTCATAGAACCAATGCACAATTTATGTTACTGTTTTGATTCCTACTTGCCTACAGTATGTGGTTACTGCAAAATGGTTAGTTGTGTTTGTCCTGTTTTGATTTTTTTTTTTTCCCTTGCTTCGATTCTAGATGCTCATATAGAAGTTGTTTTTAAAGGGTCTTACCTTGAGCCAAAACCTATAATCCGTTTCATCCATAAACTAGACTACTACTTTTTACTTGCCCCTGACACAAACCAAGGAGTCTGGTAGAGAGTCTTGATTATTACCATCTCTCCGCTGTGTGTGTCACCGATGGCTTTACAGCACCCTGGCATGCTTTGTAACACCTCGCTTGAATAAGCCTGGTATCGATGTGAAACCCTGCCGCTGCTGGGCGGCTGAGCCGAGGTGGAGCAGTGAACAGAATCTCTGTGGGAAATGGCTCGATGGCCTGTCAGGTGCATATCACAGGTCTCTTCACCATTTCAGCCTGGAAAGCTCTTTGTGTTTAAGAGTTTAAAAGCTGATTTCTTTACAGGTTAACTTTCTCAGGCGTATTTACCAAGTAGAAAAACTACTGCATTTGCGAACAGCTAGCTTGTTTCATGTTTCCTGAATGACCCAAAAAATGATTTTAAATTGTTAGCATGTATTTGTATTCTGGTCTGGATGATAACCATAGTTTTGTCTTTCATTGAAGAACGTATACATTCTGTTCTGTTACAATGTATTTTTGAATTTTTAAAAAAATCAATAAATACTCATATGATGTTTCATTTGTAAATGTAAAAAAATGTTATTTGCTTATTTGAATGTTTTCTTGAACTTCTTTAGCTGCAGGGGACACATCTTTAAAATATGGTTACTTTGAATTCTTCTAAACTGATTGTATATGATCTCAGCCGTGTTCTATTGTAAGCCCTTAATATTAAGAGTTATTCGGACCAATGTATGGAAAAGTACTGAAAAATTACATTTTTATGTTTTCTGGCTTTTTATTCTAAAGATACTGGCTTTTTATTCTAAAGATACTTGTAATTGATAAGCAGCAGCTCAATGTCACTGAAAAACAGGTGTCTAGCTTGGATACTTTCAAAGCTCAGGCTTCAAATTACCAGCGATAATTAAAGACAAATACTTCAAGCAAGCCTTTACAAACTCTGAATAAAGCATTTTTAGTGCTTGCTTCATATTTATGAATACGATCTACCAGTTAATTCTTTTGCATACTTTGCCTGGAGATTGTTTAAAGGAAAATTCAGGTCTGGAAAAATTGTTATTTTTAAGTGACTACGTGGCATTTTGGTCATTGTTTTGTAACTAGATTAGGAAAGTTACAGTTATTTTTGCTGACCATTTAAGTGCAGTAAATTATTCAGAGAGTTTGTTTAAATGGAAACGTTTAGAGAAGCTGTTTACACGTGAAAAATTTGAGCCTCCAGTTTTCACTGAGGCAAAACACAAGTCGCAGGTAGTCCAGCAGGAAGTTCCCGTGGGAGTTCCCCTGGAGCAAAGATCATAAAATTTAAAAAGCCGTGATTTAGTGCCCACAGTCAATCCTAGTGCGTGGCTGCAGCCATACTTGGCTTGCTGCTTGGCAGGACTTAGCGGTCTTACCCTTTTCTCCATAGTGGCTACATAACAAAACCATAACAAAACACGGGTTATAGTTTCTTCGTGATGTGTTCCTTTGATTGCAATGGTTACACAATTTATGTCTTGGTGTTTTTTTATTCTCCTCCTCTGCTTTTGTTTAGTGGTTAACTGTTCCGTTTTATATACTGATGGATTTAAGTGTTGGGTATTTCTAAGAGTTTCTTATTTCCCCGGCCAGTAGCACAAGCATGTGTTTCTGTGAGACTGCACACACAGGAGAAGTCCTGCAAACGCTCCAGGGTCAGTTTTACTTGTGGCGTCCACATTCCAGTATGTAGCTTTGAATTGCTGGCAGAAGTAGGCCTAAACCAAATTTCCACATTTTTATTAGGATTGACACTGAGCTCAAACCACTCCCTACAGTGGCTTTAAACAAAATAAATGCTGGTTTGATTTTTTTTGGAGGTTGGATTTGGAAATCAGTCTAGGAGTGCTTGGATCTCACTGCTGAGATATGCAGAGATATGAGGAAAATCTGAGGGAAATTCAAGCCCCAGTGAATTTTAAGGAAAGAGCGATAGTTTCGGTCTGTTCTCTAAGTAATTGCAAATTTCTTGGAGCAGGTCAAATTTTAAAAAGCACCTAAATACCGTTTTCAAAATAGACAGAGGTACTATGGGTGCTAATAGCAAGTCATTTAAGGCTATAAAATCATTTAAAAAGGTAGATACTTCTAGAGGTTTTCATAAACACCTGTGCAGATTAGGAACCTGCCTTCCAGTTCACTTCTAAGCCTGGGTGCCCTGCACAGTGTTCTGCAAATTTGGGCTGTTGCCAGCCTGAAGTTGGTCACTCCGTGGAGACTCCTGCTCTGTACCGTGTTGTCTGATGTGGTTGTGTCCTCACATGCTGTGAGTTGTCGTTCTGGTGTGATTGATAGTGGCACTTTCCTCGGTGCTTGCTCACTGCATTCTCTGGAGGATGTAGTCACGCAAAAGAAAGAGCAAAAAGCGGGCAAGTCTGGCTTCTTCAGACTCAGCGTAGTATGTTGAGTAGCTGTTCTTTGTAGCTTAGGTCATGCTTCCCGCCTCAGGGACGGTGGGTAACCTTCCCATCTGTGCTGCCTGAATTTGCAATAGTTTGTGAATCCCAGCCCTGTTTTTGCCCCAAATCTCTTTCTCTTTGACCAATGTTAAATTCACTGTTAGAACCCGTTGACAGTATTCATGCTAATTAAATAGTTCTGGTCTTTTTAATAGTGATGAGTTTAGGCCTGGAACTCTTTCTTAAGCAATCTAGACATAGTCATGAAAACCATATTTGAGTTTAGTGGGAATTTTTAATGAATGGAGATGAATGAGGGTATCAGGGTTAAACCTGGAGGAAATAATTGGGATACAAATTCTTATCATCACATCACAACTTTCATATCCTGAAATTTGATGCAGTTGCCTTTATCTTGTTTCGTTAATGTTTTGTTGCAAGTATTTTGACTCAGTGATGATGGCTGAATTAACAGTTCCGATTCAAAAATTCCTTTCCAAAGCAGGTCACAATTAAGAAATGTTGCTTACTTAGTTAAAATTCAGTGGACTTCGCTAAATGGAAGCAGCTTTCCTTTTGTTAGTTCTTGTTCGTTACATGACCCAGCAAAATCTGGATACTTAATTTGCAAGACCTCCCCAGGAGTCCTGACATTAGCTATTTCCCTCCTCCTTTCTTACGTCTGAAGCCGTTTTCTACCTCAGTAAAAGCAACATCTTCATCCCTTTTCAGTCTATCTTTTTCTCTTTCCACAGCAAGCATGATATCTTGCAGTTGAAGTTTCATCAGTCTTTGCCAATGCACCAGGATATTTCTTGTTTATGATCTTCAGTATAACTTAGGACTAGAAAATTAAGGCCAGATTGTTTACTTGTACAAGTTGTTGTATCTCTGAAAGCAACAGATTG